AAGAATCTTAATGAGAAATTACTTTTTAAAAAATAATTTTAGTTCTAATAAAATCAAAAAGTTTGGTAGATAAGTTATTCTTGGAAAAATAAGCACACATGCTGAGTGATGATAACTGAATCCTAACTACTCAGGGAAGAGAATAATAGTTCAAAACTTGGGCAGAAAAGTCTGAGACTCCATCTTCAAAATAACCAGTAAAACACTGGATAGACTGGAGAGTGTGGCTCAAGTGGTAGAGTACTAGTCTTGAGCAGGAATTTAAGAGTATGAAGCCCTGAGGTCAAGTGTCAGTGCCAGAACAAAAACATAAATAGTATAGCTGGGTGCTGGTGGTTCTCAGATGTAAGTCTAGCTACTCAAGAGGCTGAGATCTAAGGACTGCAGTTTGCAGTCAACCCAGGTAAGATGCTTACCTCCAATAAACTACTATGAAGTCCAAAGTGGAGCTGTGGCTCATGTGGTAGAGTGCTAGCCTTAAGCAAAAGAATCTAAGGGGCAGCACCCAGGCCCTGAGTTCAAAGCCCCAAGACTGGCAACAAAACATAGAGAAATAAACAAACAAGTATACAGCTAGGGGAAACAATGGCTCACATCTGTAATCCTACTCAGGAGGCTGAGATTTAGAAGATAGATGTACAAAGACAGCCCAAGCAGTCCTTTCTGCACGAAAAACTCCATCTTAAAAATAACCAAAAACAGTTGGTGTGGAAGTGTGACTCAAGTGATAAGAACATCAAGCAAGCAAGCAAACTCTAAGTTCAAGAAAGAAATTATGGGTTACAAAATCACTTGCTAAGTAACCCTGAGGCTATAACCTTTATCACTAGTTACATTATACAAACACACATATAATCAAGAATTAAAAAATTATTTGATTGCTAGACTGGGCTTGAAGATTAAATCATGTTCCCATATTTAGTAATAAACTATTTTACATAACCAAAACTAAGTCTTAGTTTTGAAAATGAGAAACATAAGTATCATGGTGATAGGGGGAGTAGAGGGAGATACAGAGTGTAGTAAAAATTATTTCTCTCTCATCAGTAAATACCTCTCAAACATTTTTCTTTTTGCAGGTCCTGGGGCTTGAACTCTGGGCCTGGGCACTGTAACTGAGCTTCTTTTGCTCAAGGCAAATGCTCCACCACTTGAGTAGACTATTGGAGATGAGTCTCACAGTTTCCTGCTCAGGCTAGCTTCAAACCACGATCCTCAGATTTCAACCTCCCAAGTAGCTATGATCACAGGTGTGAGCCACCATCACTCAACCCAAACAAACAGCATCTTATACATGTGAATATGGAAGAGTAAATCATGTCTTAATTATCAGTTCTCCAAATCTGAATAAAGAATCTGAGTAAGCTGGAATGGCCTTCAAAAGACAGCCATTTCAAGGTGCTTGTCCTGGAGAGATCTGACTAGAAATTGGCACAAAGGAACTTTCTAGGGTAGAGAAAATGAAGCATGGTGCTAGTCACATAGCAGAAGCATTAAGACTTATAAAATGCACTGAAACCTATGAACCATTCTTTAAAAAGTAATAAATGATCTGAACACTGATGGCTTACACTAGAGTCAAGGTTCAAAGCTAGCCTGGGCAGAAAGCCCATGAGACTCACCTCTAATAAACTACCTCAAAAAAAGTGAGGGGCTGGGAAGGTGGCTCAGTGGTAGAGCGCTTGCCTTGCATGCTTGAGGCCCTGGGTTCAATTCCTCAGCACCACATAAGAAAAAAGAAAAAAGCCGAAGTGGAGCTGTGGCTCAAGTGGGTGGCAGAGCACTAGCCTTGAGCTGAAGAGCTGAGGGACAGCGCCCAAGCCCAGAGCTCAGGCCCCACAACCGGACCCAAAACAAAAAAAAAAGGTGAAAGTAGAGCTGTTGCTCAAGTGGTACAGCACTAGCCTGGAGTAAAAAAGAAGTTCAGAAACAGCACCTAAGCCCTGAATTCAAGCCCCAGAAACCAGCATTTAAAAAAAAAAACAAAAACAAAAGTAATCAATGGTAGAACTACTTAAAGATAATAAAAATAGGGGCTGGGAAGGTGGCTCAGTGGTAGAGTGCTTGCCTTGCATGCATGAGGCCCTGGGTTCGATTCCTCAGCACCACATAAGCAAAAAGGAAAAAGCCGGAAGTGGCACTGTGGCTCAAGTGGTAGAGCGCTAGCCTTGAGCTGAAGAGCTGAGGGACAGTGCCCAGGCCCAGAGTTCAAGGTCCCACGACCAGACCAAAAAAAAAAGATAATAAAAATACATTTTTAAAAAGCATAAAGAAAGTATACTTTAGAAGTTCTTTGAAATGCTTATTTTAACTAAATAAAATACTAACATAAAGCTTTTTGAATGAATACATAAAATATTTTTTTTTAAAGTAATAAGCCAGTCCTAGTGGCTTACATCAGTAATCCTACTCAGGAGGCTGAAACCTGAGGTTCAAAGCCAGTCCAGGCAGAAAAGTTCCTGAGGCACTTATCCCCAATTAACCACTAAAAAACCAGAAGTGGTGCTGTGGCTCAAAGTGGTAGAGCACTAGCCTTGAGCAAAAAGGCTCAGAGATAGCACCCATGCCCTGAATTCAAGCCCCATGACTGACCAAAAAAGAAAAAAGTAATGAAATGAATGATATACCAAGATACAGAAATGGACAATAATGAATTACCTAGCACCATAGGAAATAAGAAAGACATGCTCAGATATAAACAAGAAGCAATTTCAATAGATAACTGATATGATTTATCTAGAGATCCACCTCAAAATGCCTTATTATCCAACACTACTACAAACTAGTAATTATTTTTGTTAAATTTCTCAATTTATTGGTACACTTGGTAAATAATTTATCATAAAAGATTACTATAAGCTACATTGCTTAACATCAGAATTATATTCAAAGCAGTAATATTGAGGGTTCTGTATAATGAGCAAATAGACTAGTAACTAATCTACAAAGTAGACAGTATTACTATGCTTTGCTCTCCAAATCAGCCTAGGGAAAAAGCTCAAGACTCTATCTGAAAAATAAAGCAGAAAAGTAGACTGACGGTGTGGTTAAGTAGTTGAGTGCTCGCAATGAGCAAAAATTGCTAAGCAAGAGCACAAAGTCCTGAGTTCAAGCCTTGGACCAATATGGAGGAGGGGAGGGAGGTATGGGGAAGAGATAGAGATAGAGGAGGAAAAAGAGAGGATAGAAAGAGAAGCTAGAAGACCATGGGCAACGGTTTGTTTATATTTCATCTCCTTGGAACAATTGTTAAACAACAGTAACTGTAAATATTCACAGGAACCATTACAAAAATAATGGACAGCTCATATCTATGAGTGTTTTAAAGTAACTAACACACTATAATTTGATTTCTGAATATATCCTAGTCTCATTTCTTACGGCATACCTGAAAGTGAAGCTCTGTTAGGTAAGAAGCCAAGCAGGTCATAAGCACTAATAATAGTCTTCCATTCTAAAATAATAATTTCAGGGGCTGGGGAGATGGCTCAGTGGTAAAGCGCTTGCCTTGCATGAATGAGGCCCTGGGTTCGATTCCCCAGCACCACATAAGCAAAAAGAAAAAAGCCGCAAGTGGCGCTGTGGCTCAAGTGGTAGAGCACTAGCCTTGAGCTGAAGAGCTGAGGGACAGCACCCAGGCCCAGAGTTCAGGCCCCACGACTGGACCAAAAAAATAAATAAATAAATAAAATAATAATTTCAAGAAAATGACAAATGAAACCAATGTCCAAATATAATTTCAAATACTGTACACTACACTACCTGTTTTTGAAATGTGTGTGTATATGCGTGTGTATGTCCATGTGCACATGCTGGTACCAGGACTTCAAGTCAAGGTTTCACACTCTATACTCAAACTGCCCACTATTTTTTCTTGTTATTATTTTCCTAAACAAAACAGTATAACAACAATTTGTCTAGCATTTACACTGCATTCAATAATCTAGGGTTAATTAAAAGGGCAAAAGATTTATACAATCTGAAGGTAGATTAATTTAAAAATACAGAAACAAGAATGTGCAGAGGCTATATAAATATTAGGCCAAATAAAAGGCACTGAAGCATCCAGGGATTTTGGTATCTGTGAGGGTCCCCAAAATAATCCTTTTTGGATGCCTTTGTGCATATTTATACACTTAAGTACTTGATACTGGCTAAAAACAACTTCACAGGAGGATAAGAAAAACATAATTTTACTGTGAATTACAAAGTAAGACCAATAAAGGTGATTGTTTTAAATGTGCAACCAATCTTACAGATAATGAGGATCTAAGTTGCAAATGCATAGACAAGCCTGAATCCTAAAAACTTTTGCTCACTGTACAATCTTCCAGCTTCTAAGACTCTGTCTTAATGTCAGAACACTCCTATAAAAAAAAAATCCTTCAAGTCAATTTTAGGCAAGTAGTGATTTTTATTTTTTCTTTCTTTCCACCAATAGGAAAATAAACTATGGAGGTACATTTGAACACAAGAATAAAAAAAAGACCTGGGAAGGTGGCTCAGTGGTAGAGTGCTTCCCTTGTATGCATGAGGCCCTGGGTTTAATTCCTCAGCACCACATAAATAGAAAAAGCCAGAAATGGTGCTGTGGCTCAACTGGTAGAACGCTAGCCTTGAGCTGAAGAGCTGAGGGACAGTGTCCAGGCCAAGAGTTCAGGCCCCACTACCGACAAAAAATAAAAATTAAAAAAACAAACCTTTAGAGGTCAGTACTTTAGGCTAAAAAAAGGGACTTAAAACTGACTTCATTATAGACACACAAAGAAATATCTGTGAATTAACAAGTGAAGTAACTTTTTTACCTAGCATATGTTCAGTATAGTTGTTTTCAATGCTTATACTAGAGAAGGGGTTAAATATTTTTAAGTCATTTGAAACAATTTTTTACCTAGCATATGTTCAGTATAGTTGTTTTCAATGTTTATACTAGAGAAGGGGTTAAATATTTTTAACTCATTTGAAACAATTTAATAATTTCTTCTCAGGGTAATGTTTACCTGTATCTGTTCCGGTGTCCATTGGTCTAGGTTGACTGACTTGACTCTGGATATATGAACCCCAAGATTTCTATGAATTCCAGCACATCTGATGCAAATAAATACACCAATATTCCAGGAAGCCCATCTGGGACCTAATTAAGGAAAAGAAACAATGGAAAAATGTATTAAAAATAAAAAGTAAACATGGCAGAATTTAAGAAGCATTCTGTTTTTTTATACAATTACAATGGAAGTTTAAGAGAAATCACATGCTCAACTTTTTAAATGATACTAGAAAGAACTTGGTAAAATGATATATCTTAACTATAATGAAACTATAATGAACTTTCCAATAACCTTAAACATTTTATTAATTTCACATTCCTAGAAACTTTTCCATATAAATGCTTTTTACTCAGCATAACTGAACCAACAGTAGTATATGCCAAGAGTAAAAAGAAAGCTGTTTCTGTCTTTTTGTCAATCATGGGGCTTGAACTGAAAGTTGTTTATGAAATATATAAAATATGACTTAAGCCAAGTGCAGTGACTTACACTTGGAAACAAATGTAGCAGTGGTACTCACTAGACACTATTTTGAAAATGAACTATACAACTTGTGGGTGGGATGTAAGGGAAAAACTGGGAGAAAGCAAAGAAAGGAGTGACTATGTCCAGAAAGAAATGTACTCATCACCTGAATTATGAAACTGTAACCCCTCTGTATATCACCTTTAAAATAACAACCAAAAAAAAAGGTATTATTTAAGCCAGGTACAGTGACTTACAGTTGTAATCCTAGCTACTTGGCAGTGGAAATCAGAGGGAATTACAAATCTAGACCTGCTATAGTATTCAATATCATCTGTAGTAAGAAAACTGGCTGTATAATAAAAAGCCTCTAAATCTCACGACTTAAGTCCAAAACACAGCTTCTTTGATTCTCAAAGTTCTGATCTGTTTATATTTGTTTATACATACATATATATATATGTATATTAGTTTTTAGTCAATTTTGTCATCCTTCCTTTGAGGAATAAAGACTTCTGAGAATTAGGTAGAAATATGGCTGCCCAGACAGAGAAACCTGTTATTTCTCAGTCTCCTTTGAAGCAAAAACTATGGCCTCAAAAATAAAAGTAAAAATGATGTGTTTTGCTATTACCCAAATTAGATCTACGTTTCCTGGGCCTCTTCCCTATTTTCATTAGCTAGAAGACAATAAAGAAACAAACCGCTGAAGAAGACAACTTGATACCCACACCAGACAGTACATCTCCCTAGTGATATGAAAGAAAAGCAACTTGACCTATTTAAGTCCCCCAGTATATTGGGAACAAAAATTTTTTCCTTAACAACAGCTAAACCTATAGTCTACCTAACTCAATGTAAATTACAATTACATGTGGCTGTAGGAATGTACCAGAGTTACTAATTTCAGAGCCAAAATTCTAAAACCCAAAAATAATAAAATATAATTCATCAAAATAAATTCTAGAGTCAATTTAAATAACCAAACTGTATATAAATTATTATCTATTTTGATCAAGTATTAAACAAAGAAGATATAACAGATTATGCCTACAATGAGCTTCAAAAGACTTGTTAAATTAGATCATAGCTATAAGGTAAGTGTAACTGGTATAGGAACATAGAACCTGACAAGATGAATGTTGCCAGTGGTTAGTACAGGCTTTCTAGAGTCAATGGTATTGAAGATGATTACTAAAAGACAGGTATAGTAATACTAAGTAAAGAATGGATCAGGCATAGGAAACATCCTAGGTAAAATGGACAGTATTTCTACCATCTTGAAGAAAAATTAGGGAACATCCAGACCATTGGCCAAATATGGCCATCAAAATCATTTGGGCGTATTTGGGCGGATATTTAATAAGTCTTGTCAGATGCCAATGGCCTGTCTGCCTGTATTATTTTGTAGCAATATCCTAATGGCCCTTAAAGAAAAAAGGCTCCACCTCTGTGTGTAGAAAAAGAAAATAATATATATATACACAGACACACACATATATATATATATAGAGAGAGAGAGAGAGAGAGAGAGGTGCTTATTACTAAGTTTTCTTCTATTCAAAAGTTGTTTTGCTTGTTTGATGTTTTGATGAATATAAGCAGTACCTAGAATTTGTATAATACCAAGTAGTTAATACAGATACAAATGCCTGTTTTATGTGTGCAAACTCTACAAAGTGAAAAATTCACTAGTGAAATATAACGCTTGCTATGTCTAAATAGTGTGTGTGCGCACAAACGTGCTCATCCACAGGCACACAAATGTACAAACCCATAATGTGATATGATGCACACTTGGTAAGAAGTTATTATGAAAAATACAACCGGTAACATGGTGAAGACTGCTTGTCATATTAGCTACCCCAGAAGGCAGAGATGGGAAGGATCCTGGTTCAAGAACATCCCTGGCAAAAAGTCAGGAAGAATGTAATTCAACGAATAGGCCTGGGGTAGTAGTTCTTTCCTGTACTGCTAACTACTTGAGGCACAGGCAGAAAAATCAAGACTCAAGGTTGGCCCAGGGGAAAAACAAAGAGACACTATCTGGAAAATAAAATGCCAAGTTAAAACTTCAGTAACTCACTCCCTCAAACTGAACAAGAGGTAAAAAATTTGTAGGAATGTAAGCTAGTACATCCTTTGTGAAACACAGTATGAAGAATTTTCAAAACTTAAAGAGTTACCATATGATCCAACAACCAAAAAGAAATGAAAACAACTTATAAATATAGATGTACTCCCATGTTTACCACAGCATTGTTCTTAATAGTAAAGATATAGAAACACCTGAGTGACTACAGAAATCATCTCCTTATGAATATATCAAATTATATTGTATAACTTAAATATATAGTATAAAAATAACCACCAAAATTGCATTACACTAATACATTTTTATTATCAGGTTTCATTTCTATGTTCAAGCTATTCTAATTTTTTTAATAAATGTTTTATTTGATCAAGGCAACAAGAACAGGCAAAATACAGTCAATAAATTTCAGAGCTGACTTTAAACACAATTCTGCCTACCATGCATTTTAAACTCTCTCTCAATCTTTCTCTCTGTATGTATGTGTGTGTGTGTGTCTGTGTGTGTATACCACACTTATATAATTTTTCAATATAAAACTAAAACAAGCCCAGCACCAGTGGCTCACACCTATAATCCTACCTACTCAAGAGGCTGAGATCTGAAGATCACAGTTTCAAGTTAGCCTGGGCAAGAAAGTCCATGAGACTCCTATCTCCAATTAACCATCAAAAAGTAGTAAAGCACTATCCTTTAGAAAAATAGCTCAGGGAAAGCATCCTGAGTTCAAGCCCTAGCATCAACACACACACACACACACACACACACACACACACACACACACACACACACCTCACAATGCACACAACCCAGGGAAAGCATCCTGAGTTCAAGCCCTAGCATCAACACACACACACACACACACACACACACACACACACACACACACACACACACACACACACACACCTCACAATGCACACAACCCTGAAACAACATAGTCTTTATCTGATTAAATATAAAACAATATAAAATGATTTATTTCATTATTTTAGTTTTAGTATCTTTAAACTATTATACAAAGGGTTTCAACATGTTAATGAGTCAATGCTTCCTGATCAGTGTCACTAATCCATCATTGTCCCTAATCTACTTCAACCCCACCCATCTCAAGTTAAAATCCTTATTTAATATTATAAAAGTTCATCAGCATTTGTTACCAAAATAATAAATCATTGTGTCATCAGTAATTCTTGAAAATTCCAAGATCACTGTAATTGGACACATTCAGACAAGAAATGAAGTTTATTTTGCTAAACTTAAATTAAGCTTAAAAGTTCCATGTTTGTAAGATAAAATTATGATTATGATAAAATGCCACACATATGAATCCCAATAAAAATTATTATTATTATTGTTATTGAGTAGACTGCTGAGTTAAATACAATCCAAACAAAATAATTCAGAGAACAGTGAGATTCTCAATTTGAGGTTAACAGTGAACGCCATCTGGTGGTACAAAGTTTAAAATCATTTCGTATTTGTTTAAAAGTATTAAACACCAACAAGGTTACATAACTTTCAATTATGAAACTAATTCAGATGCAGAGAAGAAAAAAACTACTAATACAATTTAACAAAAGCTATGAACTCATGTTAGCCTCTATTTAAAACAGATTCAAGTATTTTTATCAGATCACTGAGCAACCAAACAAAAGTATCTCTAAGCAAGTTGAATAGTCATATTTGGTTCCATAAAATCATGAGAAAAGATAAGTTCAAAAATGTATTAGCAATCTGGGCTCATGCTTGTTATCCTAGCTACTTAGGTTGAGATCTGAGGATCATGATTTAAAGCCAGCCTAGCCAGCCTCAGATAGTGCCCACGTCTAAATTTTAAGCCCCCAAGACAAAAGAAGGAAGGGAGGAAGGGAAGGAGGAAGCAAGGGAGTATTATCAGCTGGACTCCTGGTGGCTCAGGCCTACAATCCTATACTCAGAAGGCTAAGATCTGAGGATTACAAAGCCAACCTAGGCAGGAAAGCTCACAAGACTCTTATCTCCATTTAACTACAAAAAGCCAGAAGTATAGCTGTGGCTCAAGTGGTAGAACACTAACCTTCAGCACAAAAAGCTCAGAGATAACCATCAGGCCCTGAGTTCAAGCCCAAGACCAACACACACACACACACACACACACTCTCTCTCTCTCTCTCTCTCTCTCTCTCTCTCTCTCTCTCTCTCATTATCAATAAATTATCTTCATTACAAGTAAGGGTCTACTGGTTTTTTAATTTTTTAAAAAACCTACTTGGAGAAAAGGCATTTTACCTTACTGAATGCAAATATGTACAACAACTCAGGCACAAGAATGAAAGAACACTAAGGAAGACAAAAGTGGATTACTGCTATTCAGTCAGGAGTGAATAATGAATCGTTTTTAAGAATTAGGTTTTTAAAATCACAGCTAATGAACAGTCCATTACTTGTCATCACTACAGATGTGTAATATTATGATAGTAAATGTCACTCAAATCATATACACATATTCATGGGGTTATGTGCTGACTCACCATGCTGTTTTTTTTT